CCGCCGCCGCCGCCGTCGGGGCTGACCAGCGAGTAGGTGACTCGGCCGTTGCGGCCCAGGTCGGGGTCCGAGGCTCGCACGCGGAGAAGCGAGGCCCCCGCCGGGTTGTTCTCCGCCACGTAGGCGCTGTACGACGCTTCCCCGAAGAGCGGCTGTGACCGTGACGTCGTATTCGGGGCTGCGCTCTCTGTCGCTGTGGTGAAGGACGAGAAGAGTGCAGTGCCTGTGTTGGCCACGGCCACACTGCAAGTGATGGGAACCGAGAGCTCCAGGGAAGCGCTTCCCCAGCTGGCGGAGGCGGCTATGGCCTCTTGCTCGGTGGCTACTGTGCAGTTCTACTTGGTGCTGTCTCTGGCTCTTGTCTCCTTCCTTATGCTAATGACAAGTATCTTATTTTTTTGCCCATGACGTTCTGAAGATCAAAGAATTCCCGTGTTCGGAATATCCAGTGACATGGGCGTTGTGATACTTATTCTAAAGTGAATCCCGATTCTGAGTAGACTACAAGGAGGGGTCATTGTCATAGTCCTATGTATTTGTTTGCCTCCAGGCTCCGAGCTAATTTCACCTTCATGCAAACAAATGGCAAAGGGAAGATAGCTCATAATGTCCTGTTCAGTGACAAAAATCCAGTCTGGTTAGAAGTACCTCTGTTGTAAGCAGTTCCAAACCTGAGACTGGAAGTGAGCTTCTGGGAGTGAGCGTTTCAATAACTTACATTCTTTGCCTGTACTTTGATTTTAGTAAGATAAGTAGAAATTGTCGTGTAGTATTTAGTAAGTCAGAGTAGTGGGGATCCCAGTGTTTTCAGTCTATTTGCTATGTTTGTGAGGTATTTTTATTTTCAGGGGTACTACATCTTTTCGTCAACATGTTGTTTACTGCCATTGATCAGAGGCAAAATATTTGAGTCTAAAATAAAAGTCTCTTCTGTTCTGCAATGGTTCCTATAGTCTCCTCAGAGTAGTGTCAGGCCACAATCCAGTACTGCTCATCTAACTTCTGTCACATCTGTGGTGCCGTCTCTTTTCCACTCTCCAGGAATAGATTGAATACAGACTGTTGGAGTGTGGTTTCCGCTCTGTTGTGACTGGAGGCAGTAAGCTATAGCTTTGATTAGTTACTTTCTAACTTGGTTGCAGTCTATGGCATCTTGAAAATATATTCACTTCTTGCTGATTTTTTTCAGGTATTTAAGATACTATTCAGAGCTATACCCAACGTTCCGTCTTTTCAATTCAACTCCACACTATATATAACCTTCCTAAATCAGCAAAGGGCATCACCGTTTCAAATGAGGTGGTATCATTTGTGTTCAACCAACGCTGTGATCTCTTGAAAAAGTCAGGAAGAAGGTAAACCTCATAACTTATACATTCACAATCTGTGTTACAAGATTGATAAAGGGATAACACGGCTGAACCCAAATTTCCATCTATCTAGAAGTCACAGAAACTAAAGTAGAAATTACGGGGTTCTGGGTGAGTAAATCTAAGGGTACATTCGGATTCTTCAACCGTCCATCTTTCAGGGACCGTTTTTTCGTTGTCCAACCTGCCGCTTTGTTAAGTCGCTCCCCCTTTGTAGGATTCTCTGAAGACGAAAACCTATTTCTGCATCAGCTTGTAAGCAGAAGGACACTGTAAATCGGTGTTAAATCGCTGAAAAGGTGTCCAAATGGGAAATATCATTCCACTCTGTTTTGCGATGTGATATAGTAATGGAACATACAAACATGTGAGAAATTGGGTGTCATTCCTCTCATAGCCAAATATATATCACAGCGATTTTGTTCTTAGGCGTTGAAAAACTGTAAATAATTATTGATAATGATATGGAAATACTGAGTTTCAATTTAAAATATCCCTCAACGAGCAGTAAAAAAATAACAGCTATACTGTGTATTCTCCGATCTCCTGTGAAGGGAACTCAGATACCGCTTTCCTTTTTTTGAACATGTAATTCATCTTTATGATAGTTTCGTATGTGTATACACTTCTCTGACCTAGCGAAAGATACACCCAGTAACTTTTACTCTGTTTTATTCTGCCGAAGAAAGTGCGATTTCACACTCTAATCAGGGAAAAAAATATAACGTCTGACCGTCATTAGCGTAAAGATCAGTAGTTAAAATTGCGCCCTCATTACATTGAAACGATTCAATGGACAAGTACTTTGAGTTAATCTAACGGTATAAACTTTATTCAGAGTTATTAGAAAGATAAACTGATACATTTAAAGTCAGTTGCTTTTTAAAGTATTTTGTGCAGTTATTGGTTGAGACTCTGAGCGCCGCTGTTCAATCAGGAAGAGAAGTGTGCGGAGAGATCCAGGCAGCGTCACACAGCTCGGTTCCCGGGAGCAAGCGCACGCTCAGTCTGCCGGATTCCAAGGGGAGCTCCGCTTGAGAAACACTGGGAGAAACCGGCTACATACAAGCTCCAGGGACGAGGATAAGAACTGAAGACGGAATCAGATTTCTACCTTTAACCGTACTGAAAATGGCGAAAGCAAAAGCCCTGTGGGTCTACGCAAGGCGAACCGTGCTGTGCTGCGTGGTGCTGACCGTGTGCGGGGCCGCTGCGGCCGGGCAGATTCGCTACTCGATCCCCGAGGAAATGCAGAAAGGCTCCTTCGTGGGCAACATCGCGCAGGACCTGGGGCTGGAGGCCAAGGCGCTGTCGGAGCGCGGCGTGCGCGTGATTTCCAGAGGTAGGACACAGTATTTCGCTTTGAATGTAAAGAGCGGCCATTTAATCACGGCGGAGCGGCTAGACAGGGAGCAGCTGTGCGGCCGGGCCGAGAAGTGTCTCCTGAACTGCGAGGTTATAGCGGACGATGTAATGAAAGTTTTTCGAATAGAAGTTGAGATCGCGGATATCAATGACCATGCTCCCAACTTCCAGGCGCAAGCGATGGAACTAAAAATTAGTGAGCTTACAGCTGTTGGCACGCGAATTTCCCTGCCTGAGGCTCACGATCCAGATGTGGGAGTTAACTCTGTCCAGAGCTACGGGTTGAGCAGCAACGAGCACTTCTCCCTGGACATGCAATCTGGCCCCGGGGGTGTTAAATATCCGGAACTGGTTCTGGAAACGGCTCTAGACCGGGAGACGCGCGCTGTCCACCAACTAACTCTCACAGCGTCTGACAGGGGGGACCCGGCCAAGTCTGCCACTGCTCAAATCCGTGTTCTGGTGGTGGACGCCAATGACAATGCTCCGCGTTTTGCCCAGCCGGTCTATAAAGCCAGTGTTTTGGAAAACGTGCCCAGAGGATCCACGGTCGTTTCAATAAGCGCCATTGATCCGGACGAGGGAAGCAATTCTGAGGTGAGCTACGCCTTTACAAGAATTTCAGCGCAGGGCTCCCAGGTGTTCAGCTTGCATCCTGGGACCGGGGAGATAACACTCGTAGGAGACCTGGACTATGAGGAAACTGCAGCGTATGAAATGGAAGTTGAGGCGAAGGACATTGACGACCTCTCGGCCAGGGCCAAAGTACTGGTGACCGTCCTGGATGTGAATGATAATGTGCCCAGAATTGAAATTACTTCACTGTTCAGCCCAGTCCCGGAAGACTCCGCACCCGGAACAGCGATCGCTCTGCTACACGTGCGGGATGGAGACACCGGCCTGAACGGGGAGGTCTCGTGCTCCATCCCGGACCACGTCCCCTTCCGGCTGCAGAAATCCGTGGACAACTACTACAGCCTGGTGACGGCCAGAGACCTGGACCGGGAGCAGGTGGCGGATTACAACGTGACGGTCACGGCCCGGGACCGCGGGGCGCCGCCGCTGTGGTCCGCCACGACGATCGCGGTGCAGGTGTCGGACGTGAACGACAACGCGCCGGCCTTCAGCCAGGCGGCCTACAGCGTGTGGGTGAGCGAGAACAACGCCCGCGGCGCCTCGGTGTTCTGCGCGCGGGCGGCCGACGCGGACTGGGGCGACAACGCCCGGGTGACGTACTGGCTGGCGGAGGGCGAGCTGCAGGGCGCGCCGCTGTCGTCGTGGCTGTCGGTGCAGGCGGAGAGCGGCGCGGTGCATGCGCTGCGCGCCCTGGACTACGAGCAGGTGCGCGAGATCCGCTTCGCCGTGGAGGCGCGGGACGGCCGCGCGGTCC